CACACACACACACCACATACCCCTCACCTTCTCTTGCTTCCTCTGTTAACTGTTCTTTCGGAAAATCCACATCAAAAGTGATTATCAAAGAGCCTTTGATGTTGTTGTTGTCAAAGTTGGGGAGCCCCTCCCCTTTCTTCCATAGCTTGGCTCCCGGTCTGGTGATCTTATCCCGGGAAACGTGCACCTGAAAAGCAAAGGGAACAGACTGGAGTGGGACTGCTATTCCCAAAGTCCAACACCAGCTTCTAGTGCCCAAAGCTCACAGCACAGCTCAGAGGAGCGGCAGGATGAAGGGGCATGAGAGACTCACTAGGACACTGTAAGCCAGAGACAGAGAAGGCTTTCAAAAGAAAAAGAGAAGCCCAACATATAAACAAGTAAAAGAGCACGGCTTTCGCCAATGGAGACTGTAAGAACAAGACCGCCAAAGGCTGTGCAGTCAACCCTGAGCAGCTGAAATGTCTGCGGCACCGTTACTGCTAGATGTTCAGCAGTAGAGTGAGGAGAGGAAGCAGAACAAAGACTGAGAGAGGTGTCCCCATGGCTCAAAGTAACTGAAGTGGCTGAAATAATCTCAAAACCACCCACATGAAAGTTCTAAGAGGACAGGAAGCAGAAAAATTGGTTTGTTTACCTTGTGACCATCCAAGTGGGTAATATCCATGTCAAAGCCCACCAGAGACTCAACTAGTGAGATTGTCACGTTTGTGTATAAATCGTCTCCTCTCCTTTCAAATATTGGGTGCCTACAAACAGAACAAGGTAAAAGTCATTAACTTCTATCTTTCTTTGAGAAGAGTTTATAACATTTTTAGAAACTCTTGGAAAAGGATGAATATCACTCTTTCAAACAATAAGCATTTACTAGACACTCCTTTGTGTGAGCATTAATGAGAATATAAAAGTATGCAAGATTTAGTAAACCCTACTCTTCAGGAGCTGACAATCAGCAGAAGCCAAAGCATGTAAATAAAACTACAAGTAATTAGAGCATGGAAAACAGAGGAAGACAGCTCCTAGTGGTGCGCGCTAGGGCGACGGGCAACAGGAATAGGTCTGGAATGGTCTCCAGAGCTGGGCTTGCAAGGCCAGAGCAGCTCTAGAGACGCAGATAAGATGGGCATGGGGGAGGATGGGGACAGGGAGAGAGGGAAGTCAGGCAAAGACAGGGACTTGAGAAGGTACCAGGTTTATTCAAGGAATAGTACATGTTCCAGCTTCTCTGGGAAGTGATTAGGAAGATCAGGTAGGTAAGGAAAGTTGGGGAAAGATCAGAGATTAAAGAGTGCTAGGAGGGAAAAGTCCTAGATGGTGGGTGCCCGTTTCTCAATATTTAGGTGGGAACCTTGTTTCAAAGAATCTCTAAAAGCAGAGGTATCACTGATTTCCAAAGTGGTAACAAGAGAGAAGTAATAAATTAGCCTGAGTCCCAGGCAAAATTCTTATCTAAGCAGCACTTCATGCTAAAGAGAAGCCAACAAAAGAAGACCTCTCTCTGTACAGAAGCTGCGTAGTACGTAATACAAAACCCTTTCTAAGGAGAAGTCTCCCATTCTTGTATGGTGCCATACTTTCTCAGTTAAAATCTCAGGTATCCGTGATTCCTCATTCTTGCTTGCCTCTCACTTACAACTCCTTACTTGTCTTACTAATGCTTTCCTTCCAACAGCTTTTGTATTTATAGGTCCTAGGAAATAAATAACTGGCCTCAACCCTAGGCCCCAAGCCAAAATGGTCAGTATAGTAGAGTTACAAATAATCATTTAGGGTACTAAGGGCACAAAACAGGGAGAAGTCTGGAAGTCTCCTGGTAGCTACCCATATTTCTATAATGTGACTCATCTGAAAAGCAGGAGCTAAAGAAAAGGCCTCTAAAATTGGATTACTTACTTGACAACTTTGATTCGGAAGCGTAAGTCTCCTGGTTCTCCATCCACGTGAGGCTCGCCTAGTCAGAACGGATCAGAGAAGACTGTGAGCCACACAAGTTGAACGCTGAAAATCTATTTGGCAGTTGAGACGCTATTTTCAAGCCACTTCCTAAGGTGATGGCTGTCAGTCTATCTGCGAGAGCAGTGTCTCTACCTGGTTATAACAAGCTTCAGATTATTAGTGAAGATCACTTGTACCTCAAGCACAGCAATAAATAACTTGACCTATTTCCTAAACAAAGGATGATTCATTGATTTCCTGGACCTGAAGTCTTAAAGCTTGTTTCTTTTAGAGTTTTAAATTTACCCCCAAAGGTGAGGTCTGAGAGCATCTTATTAATGCCAACTGTAGTTACATACCTTCTTTCATTGCCGAGTTAAAATTTATCCATTAAGTTCTGAACACCCTAAATTTTGAAATAACTTAGGCTACTTGATCGTAACTTTTGCCATGATAAACAGTAATGGTAATGCGTAAGGTGACCCACTATGATGGTCATAATAGGCTTTCTGTATCCTAAAACTGACTGAAGACTGTTGGAAATGATATGTGCATTTACTATGTGGCCACAGGCGGGGGTGGGAGGTATTCACAAGCAAGCAGATAGCAGAAAGTTAGGATAATAAAATATCAATATCAATATTTCACCTTCTCCAATAAAGGGGTACTCCATGCCATCTCTCACCCCAGGCTCTATTTCTACCTCCAGTGTTCGTTCTTCATTCACTAGTCTGAGACAGAGAATTTAAGATGAAAAAAAAAAAAAAATGAAAATACAAAGCAAACCCCAGATACAGATAATTAGTTTTATCTATTCTATCACAGTTTTTTCTTGGAAGACTATCCTGTATCTCTAGTTGACAAAGCCATCTGATATCTATTTATATCCTCTGCATGCCAAAAGCCAGGGCAAAGCTACCATATATTACACAATCATGTGACTGTTGCCTCCAAAACAGCCTACAGTAGACTGATTATTTTGAACTGTGTGATCTGTAACAGAAAACACTATTCACACTTCCATACCTTTGCACCTGTCATGTTTATCAGGAATCTAGCAGGACAGTTTATCCTATCTGATTTTATTCCTAGTTGCACAAATAACTGATCTAGTTTTGATATATATAATTTAAGGTTCAATTAGATAGTGGTGTTTATAACATAATCAGCAAATAGTATTTCTCTAATCTGAAGTGTCAGCTGGATATAAGATTGATCTAATAGTGCAAGTAGAAAAAAATGAAACATTAACATTTGTAAAGTATATTCAGAAATAAAGGGCACTGCTTATGGGTTTGGAAACATAAAGGGAGATATTTAAAAGAAATACCTTTGTAAAAAATTAAAATGTACATTTTTTTGCTCTATCCTCTGGTAGAACATGAGAGAAGAGTGAGGGGAGGGAGGGAAAGAAAAATCTAGGCATCGACCATTAACATTTTATTAGACCAATGAGATGATTAAAGTGTCTCTTAGTAAACAAAAAAGGTACTTTCACTTACTTGACATTAGGGCACTCATCGCAGACCACTTCCTGGGTCATCTGGAAGCGCCCTGGGCCCAGCTGGGTGGTCCGCATCTCTTGCCGACAGTTGCATTTCCGTTTGCCAGGAGCCTGCCTTGCCACAGGTTTGTTTCTAACTACCTAAGGAGTGCATACACAACATCAGCCTCCCTCTCATGTTTAACAGCCTTTGATGTCTTCAACTGATCAGGGCTCTGCGCATGTGCCAGGGCTGCAACTTCCCTATGCCAAGCTATCCCTCAGGGAGACCGAAAGCTGACAGCAGTCTTTGAGGAGTTACAAATCAGCCCCAACACAGGAATGAAACACACAGGTATTTAAATGACTTAAATTCTAAAGTTGGAGAAGAGAGAGGGTAATAAGAGCCGAAAAATACTGTGTGTGATAACAGCAATTCTAAACCTCAATTAAATACTACTGAGTTAAAGTAGTTCACAGAATCTCTGCCTTTTAGAAATCTGAGCTGTGTAAACCATAACCCCTGCAGAACAGCCTTCAAAAGCTGGCATGTGGCTACCACCAGAGGGTTAGTTATGATCAACCTGATGAAAACACTTCCCTGTGTCTGGCAACCCCACCGAGGACTGCTTCCAGTGCTATCTCAGTTCAGGTACTTTAGCTAGTAAGAAGAGACACAATGATCATCTTTTTGTAGCTCATTGCAATCAAGCACTCTGATCCTTCCAAGTACAGTAATACCTCAGTTTGTGAGCATAATTTGTTCTGGAAACAAATTACTCATATTGCAAGACACCACTTGCTTACCAAGTTAAAATTTATTATTAGGTTGGTGCAAAAGTAATAGCTGTTTTGGCCATAATTCAGTGTTCTTGCAGAACACTCGCTAACCAAGTTACTCGCAATCCAAGGTTTTGCTTTATTTAGAAACTAATATACATAGAGAAATGTATTCTTATTTTTACCTGTTTGATTAGTGAAACACCTAATCACAAAGCATGTGTTCATGCAGCAGGATGACACAAATGCTTGGAGAAAAATCCCTGAAAGCCCACTGACATGAAAGCCCAGGTTAACAGAATAAATAACAACAGTAATAGTAATTAGAGCAAATATTTGATAGCACTTACCATGTACCAAGCAATGCTCTAATCACTTTTACATATATGAACTCATTTAATTCTCACAACAACCTTATGAGATAGGTACTATTATATTATCATCTCGATTTTACAGAAGAAGTAATGAAAGCACAGAAAAGGTTCAGTAACATGACCAAGGTCACATAGATATATGGATGGCAGAGCCAGGATTCTAAACCAGGCAGTCTAGCTCCAAAGTCCATGTTTTTAACTATTATGTTCTCTCAAGACAATGTTTTCTTATAAAAGAAGTTATTATTGGGTCATTTAAATAGCAAGGTCACTTATATCCTTTACAATAACTAGGTTAAAAAAGAATTTGTTTAGAAACACACTAACTGCAAAAAGTGATGTGCATTAGCAATGACTGCAGACAACAGGTCTCCAAGGGGACATGGGAGTTAATTGGGCTCCCCTTTTTCTCCCACCTGAATAACCTATCCTGATTTTGAAGGAGAGATGGCCCACATATTTTGAATGCCCTTTTCTTGCATTCTTCCGACTAAATAATAGTGGTACAAGCCAGTTGCATCTTCTGTAATTGTCTAGTCCTCTTCTTCAAACTATTCAGAGCCAAAGCCACAACTAAGAAGAAAGTGTTTCTTATCAAGATGGCACATATGCATTTGGCTACCAGCTATCTCCTCCGAAATCCTGGAAAAAACTAGAAAACATGGGTTCGAGGAGATAATAATAATGATAACACAAAATCTGTGAGAAAACTCCAGAGACAGAAGGCTGTTTTGAACTGTTATATGTACTGGGGTAACAGTAGCTAGCAGGGGCAGTGAGAGAATTTGGAAAAAACCAGTTGAAGTTCTGCTCTTGCCTCGCTCCTGAATTGCCTCGGGACAAGCACCGTCTGGCCCTTCTCCCCAGAAAGCAATAAACCCCAAACACCAAAAAAAAAAAAGAAAAACAAAAACACTCCAAGAAAATAAACAAAATACAGTTAAAACCACTAGGTAAGGGCTTGTCCTAGTATGTTCTACAAGGGAAAGAGAGGTGTGTTTGGGTGGCGGGGGAAGGATATGAGCTCCAAGGCCAAAATAGCTAGAGGTGTGAGGACTCCAACTATCCACCCCCCATGTCCAAAG